GGGGCGTCGCCTCACCAGCTAGGAGCTACATCCTGGCAAGGACGGGTTACCCAGAGCCACGGAGCTTAAGTTTTCCCCTTCTATTACCCTGCCACCCGGTTACCTTTTCGCTCCTTCTTCGTCGGGCAGTTCTGGCTCGGTCGCCGCCATTACCACATCGCACTCCGCGGCAGCCGCCATCTTACCGCCTAGACCAGAGAGCCGGGTGGGAGGCCGGCGGTGAAGAGCACTTCCGGTCGGAGCATCGAGCAGCTCCGCAGTGCTGTGCCCAGAGGGGCTCCCTCGGGCCCGTCTACCAGTAAGAGGCTCCGCTTGGGGCCAGAGCGGCCTTCCGCCCCCGGAGGTCCACGGAGGTCTCCGCGCCGGGGCGGGGCCCCAGGGACGGTTCCTGTGCGTGGGGGGCGCCACTTTAACCGTGAATCGAAAGGGGGTACAGGAGGGTGTCGCCTCTCTAGACCTTGGTTTTCCTCAGTATTCTGAGAGCCTCGTTGCCATAGCAATTTCCAATCCTAGAGCGTCTTCTGTAAGGTTCAGTGGGGGTCTGAGTTGGGTGGGGACCCGATGACTCAGGACTCTGTTGGGAAAGAGCCCCCCGCTACTACCTTCCCTACCTTCCACAGCTTCCTCCTGGGAAAGGCAAGAAGAGACACTTTGAGCCCGGTTCCGTCAGCTTTCGTGGGCCCTTGGAAGCCCTGCCCAACCAAGCCAGGGGAACGCAGGGCGTCTTCACCCCGCGCCTTTCATCCCCTCCGGATCTCCAAGCACCAACTGGTTCATCACCCTAATGACGCTGACCCTTTTTATGATGCTGCTTTCATGTCAGCCGCTTGGGAGTGCCATTTCAGCATCAGGCCTAGGAAGAATGGCACAGCGCCGCAGACCCTGCCCTTGAGTTTATAAGGAAGCTCCCAGGGTGAGGTCCCTGCCCCAGTGTCCCCAGTATTCCCACCCCTCGTAAAAACTCCCTGCTCAGCACGCTTGTCTCGCTGAATGCAATCTGGACTGGGAACTCATAGAGGTCATAGACACAGCCTAACCATCTTTGTAGTGCTTAACCCCACCCAAACCGGCAATATTTGTGGACTTGAATTAAATTGGGGTTTTCTGAGATTAAATTGAGGGAGTTTGAGGTTAAAACTTTAAATTTGTGGGGAACTAAAATAATAAGGCGGCAAGGGAGTTTAAAAGGGATGTTATCTTCTTCCTCTAGTAAAACTATGTGCCATGGTCCGTAGGCTGCTTGCATGGCCCCTGACTATCAGAATGCCAAGGAAGCCGAAACCAAACTCACCATTAGGTAGGGAAGAGAATGGGAGAAGCTCAGTGGGTTGGAAGAGAGAGGTCATTTATTCAGCCCTCTACAAAGTGCCTCCTCCCCCTATTGTAGGTTGGGAAGGCACAGATTTGCCATCTACCCTGCCAGCCAATGGCTTACAGTCTACAGTTAATACAAAAGGCAGTCTTTCACCATCTCCCCATGTGTGTTCTCTGTATCTAAGCCAACTCATCTATACCCACAGCTTTAACTTTATTTGTTGGTGACTGTTGATATCTCCAACCTAGACCTCTCTTCTGAGTTCAGACCTCTATATCCAACTATCTACTGGTGTCTTTTGGATGTTTCACAAATCACTAAAGCTTAACATTTAAATTGAACTTATTCTCTCCCCACCTCTCAACAACGGAAAAAACAAATGCTGTACTTGATTCTTTTCTGCTGAATTCCTGATCTTCTTAAATGAATTCACCATTCACCTGGTCCTCAAATGAGACAAATGGGAAACATCATGAATTCCTCTTTCTTACTCTTGACTCCCAATTTATCACCAAATCGTGTTGATTCTCCTACCAAAAGTTTCCCAAATCTCTCCTTTTCACTCCAATTCAGGCTGTCATAAAAAACAAACAAAAACACACACACATACACCTTGTACTACTATTAAAGTGTAACTGGCACCCCAGTCTCATCTCTTTCCAATCTTCAGTCTTCTGTCAGACTGACCTTGAAAGCAAAAATTGATCACGTTACTCCACTAAAACCCACCAATGGCTTTCCACTGCTGTTAGGATACAGTTTGAAACCTTTGACCTATTACACAAGGCCTTTGGTTATTTGGTTCCTTTCTACCATCAATATTGAACCCAACTGCTTGTAGTTCCAGAAAAATGCCATGATGCTTTGCCACGATTTCTCCATCCTTTCCTCCCAAGCCCTTCAAACCTCAACACGGACATAACCTTCAGCCAGTTCTCCGTGGTGCCTGCTGCCCCCAAGTTAAGTGCCCTGTGCTCCTATAGCACTTCTGTAATAGTTCTTACCATGGTGTACTGTAAATTTTGGATTAGATGCCTAGCTCTAGACGGTGACGTTCTAATGGGCACTGTCTGTTAAACGTCTGCTTTTCCAGGTGTGTGGTCCTGTACCTAGCACAGAATAGGTGCTTACAATACACTTGATGAATAAACGATCGAATGAATAATTACTGTACTATAGTAGCCTTAAGAGAAAGAACACTTGGACATCAGGCAAGAACGGCACCGCGCGGGGCCAGGGAACCTAGTCCGGTGTCCTCCGGCGGACCACTAGCAAGGGTCCCTGCCGTCATTTCCCCCGCCGGCCTCTGGGGGCGCTGGGCGGACGGCGCCCTCTCCCTGCCGCCGGAACTCGTCTTGCCCGACAGAAGCTGGGGGGCGGGACCAGACGGAGCCCGGATTGACCCGGAAGGACGGAGTCCTTGCAGCTGTGCTGCCCCTCCCCTGGTCCCGGCGCGCCTCTGGGGACCCGGCTGGGGTGCTGCGAGGGGCTCGGGAGGTACGGAGCGGGAAGGCCGAGATCGGCCACCGCGTCGGGGCCGCTTTGGTGGCAGATCTTTGTCGCCATAGGTTCCTCCTGGGAGGGGGGGTCCTCTCGTGGGAAAATCTGTGGCAGAGGCCCCACTGGCTGTCTCTCTCGGGGTATCTGTTAACTGTGGGGTCACTATATGGGGCCCTTTGGGCGGGGTAGAAGGGTCTCTTATCTGGCGTTTCCTCCGGAGAGGCTTCTTTTTGGAACCCCTCTGGGAGTGATCTCTGTCTCTGCTCTCTGGAGGAATCTGTCTGGGGCTGCTTCAGGGAAGCCTGTATTTTGGGATGCCGGCGAGATCTCTGGGACCCATGCGGAGAAGGGGTTTCTGTGTTTGAGCCTTCTCATCTGGGCCTGCCAGCCCAGGGGCGGCAAAAATGGTCTCCTTTCCAGAGCCCTTTTCCCCTTAGATTCCTCCACTTCTTTCTTGTCTGATGGGCTTCATCTTAGCCATGGACTTGAGTAGGAATCAGGGGGAATTAATTGTTTATACCAGAAAGCAAAATACTCCCCTTATTTGTTCAGCAGGAAGAACAGCTTAAGACAGATCCACACAAAATAGTATTCCTGCCTATTTCTCTGTCAGGTCATGGTTAAAGAGAGGAAGCTGAGCACGAGCTCCCTTCAGTAACTGGTCCTCCAAGTCCTGTGCAGAGAGAGGAACCTCACCAGTGTTTCATTTAAACCAGCATCTCTCTTCCCCCCTTTTTTTGTTGTTGTTAATCCTCATCAGAGGATATTTTTCCCCCTGATCTTTAGAGAGAGTGGAAGTGAGGGAGGAGTGGGGAGAGAGAAACAGAAACATCGATGTGAGAGAGACACATCGATCAGTTGTGCATGCGCCCCAACCAGGGCTGGGGATCAAACCTGCAACCCAGGTATGTGCCCTTGACAGGGAATTGAACCCCTGACCGGCTAGGGCTCTCTTCCCTTTTTATGACAACATTTACTGAGCACCAAGTTACTGGCTGGGTATAAGGAATACCAAAGATGAGTAAGATAGAGCTTCCTGTCCAGTAGTAGACAGACACATAATTTCTGACATATACCTGACTAGAGTAGAGGACAGTGCTGAACCCGAGGCTACACATGCAGTCCAGAACTTGGGCTCTCAGTTATGGGAGGCCTGCCCTCTGTTTTGATCCCACCTCACCCAGTGTACTTCTGTTCTTCAAGGTTGAAGGGTAAGCATGGGGAAGAGTTGCAAGGTCGTCGTGTGTGGCCAGGCATCTGTGGGCAAAACATCAATCCTGGAGCAGCTTCTGTACGGGAACCATGTAGTGGGTGAGTGTTTTGTTTGTGGGTGGGGCAATGGTGGAAGAAGTTAAAGAATAGGAGTAGGATTTGATAACACAGAGAAGCTAAAATCTGTGCCTGGAGTAAAGTCTATATCATGCCCTCCAGCTCTACAACATTGAGGTCTGGAGGAAGAAAGCCCAATATTCAAGATAAGGAGGAAAAGCTCCCAAGTCTCACTTTTGCTTAGTGTGGTGTGAACATGGGATTAATATCTGTTCCCCCAAATCATTCTAGTCCTGCCAAACTTGGTCTGGCCACTCTTTCCTCAGCCCCCCTCTCCTTAGCCCCCACATTCCTTTCCCTCCCTTTTGGGTCAGTCTGTCAGGATATACTCAGTCACTCACATTTCCCATCTCTCTTCTTCAAATGAGTTTTCTCCTCATTTTATCTCAGGTTCTGAGATGATTGAGACACAAGAAGACATCTATGTAGGCTCCATTGAAACCGACCGGGGGGTACGGGAGCAGGTGCGTTTCTATGACACCCGGGGGCTCCGAGATGGGGCTGAGCTGCCCCGGCACTGCTTCTCCTGCACTGACGGCTACGTCCTGGTCTATAGCACAGATAGCCGAGAGTCCTTTCAGCGTGTGGAACTGCTTAAGAAGGAAATCGACAAATCCAAGGACAAGAAGGAGGTGTGTATGGGAGCCCTGGTAGTGAGAGTGGGCCCTGGGCTGGCTTTATGAGGCTTGGCATGGCTCTGTTTTTCATTCATTTGCCAGGAGGTGAGTTAGGAGCTAGAGGAGGGATGGAGGCCACTGGAGAGTGTCTGCACCCATATATGTCTCCCCATGCTGAGGCAGCTCAACTAGAGGCTTCTCCTTAGTTTATGAGATCCCTGACCTAACACATGAAGCCCCCACTAGTCTTTCTTTATAATGGTTCCGTACTCTTAGTTATGAAAGCCCTTCTTTTCTCAAGTCCCACTATAAGCTGCGGGCATTCTGGTAGTGCTTCCTCACCAGTTCCTTATCCAAAAGCGAACTGACTGCTGGTTGTGAGCAGGCATGGGTGATTCAGGGCTTGTAGCGGAACTCCTGGAGGGAGGGCCAGATGGAGGCCAGAATTTGAATAGAGGAAAGAGACAAAGCAACCATCTCCCTACCCTCACTTTGTGGTTTCTAATATAGGAAGAGATGAGACATCAGCCATTAATACTTTCCTTCTCTTAGGACTCCTAGGTGGTGGCCAGCCTTTCCTAAGGTCCATGGTACATCCACAAGTTTCTACTCTGTCCCTCTTCCCCAGGTCACCATCGTGGTCCTTGGCAACAAGTGTGACCTGCAGGAGCAGCGGCGTGTGGACCCAGATGTGGCTCAGCATTGGGCCAAGTCGGAGAAGGTGAAGCTGTGGGAGGTATCTGTGGCTGACCGCCGCTCCCTTCTGGAGCCCTTCATCTACCTGGCCAGCAAGATGACCCAGCCCCAGAGCAAGTCCGCCTTTCCCCTCAGCCGCAAGAACAAGGGCGGTGGCTCCTTGGATGGCTGAAGAGCTGCCATCCCTTCTTCACCTTCCCAACCTCAGTCCAGCTTCTGGGGCTTTGGAAGATGGGTTGAGAGGAAAGGGGAACTCCTCACTAGGGCAAGCAGCTGGGCTCTTTCAGGCTCAGGCCACTTTTGCTCCATCCTAACTCCGGGAAGTGCAAATAATGTAGGTTAGTGCCCCCAACCTCTTCCTCTACCCCAGCTTTCATCATATCTGTCCCTCTGTGACCTGGGGCAATTGTGGGTCAGGGTCCCTTCCATCTGCCCTGGATGGGAAGCAGAGCTACACAGAAGTGCCAAGTCTAGGGTCTGGTTCTGATCACAGGCCCCACACTTCTGGGCTTCTGCCACACACACACTTATGGCACCATCCTGGACTCTAGGGAAAGGGCGTCCAGATATCGTGTATGTGTGTGCATCCTGGCGTTAGGGGTGCCTCCTCATCTGCACCCTGACCTTTTTCCTGTCTGTACCTTGGCTGAAAGAAGCCAGCCTCCTGGGAAGTGTGATTTTCTACTTGATCTCCTCCCCCAATTGTTTCACTTCCTCTTCCTGCTTACAAAGCAGATGGGCCTCATTGGCTGAGGTAGATGGAATGACGACAGCTGAGTCACTAATGGGCTTTGTGACCTAGCAAGGCTTTTCCCCTCTCTGGGCTTCAGTTTTCTCATCTATACGGTGACAGAAGTTGCTTAGATGATTCTAGATCCTCTTCAGCCCTGTGATTTTATAATGTCCTTGGCTTCAGGCCAGCTGACTGTACCCTTTGCTTCTCCCTCTTTAAGGTGCTATGCCTACCCGCCCTGGAGGCTGGGACACTGCTCTCCGACAACCGCCAGGGGGCAGGAGTGCACTATCTACTCTAGTTGCCAGAATGGCTGCTTAGTGCCCAATGGGGAACCTCATACCCATGGGGGCTGGTCTTCACCCCTTCCTGTGGTTGTTTTCAGCTAATAGCTGGACTTTATTTATAAATTACTTATTATAAATTAGTATGCTGCCATGGTGAAGGCTGGACAAGGTGCTCCTCTACCCCTTCCTTCTTACCTCAGATGCCTCAACAGAACAAGGCAAACAAGTAGTAGCTTCTCAGGAGCTGAAAGATTTGTTGGGGCTCAGAAGGGTGGTTACACTCTCAACTTGCTATAAAGTGAGCTTATGACCCACAACTTCCTGTGCCCACTTCGTGCTTCTAATGGGCACAGTTACCGCAGGTGAGCCCCTAAAGCCAGGCCACCTCCAGTGCATGCTCCTTCTCCCCAGAATAGGAGAGGTGAACAGGGGCAGGTGGTCCAGGGCTGGGCAAGTCAAGGTAGGGCATATACAGGCTTGGGCTTAAAGTTCATTTATTGATGCATTGGACACAATAAAACCACAACTGTTATCAAAAAGTTTCCCTCCCACTCCTCCCTTATTCTCCCATTGGAAATACCTTTAAAAAAGAAAAGATACAGGTGGATACTGGCAAAGTCCCATATTGTGGGGTGAGGGGAGCTGTACTGGGGTAGGATGGAGGTTGTGACATTAATTTTGACAGCATGAAAATGTGTCTGTGGTTATCAGACTGGATCCCAACACTCAGCTTCACAGTGAGGGAGGCTTGGGATGCTGGTTGGGAGGAGGGAAAGCTGGATTAAGTGCTAGCGACCAGCTGAAGAGCTAGAGAGGAAAGCTCTGCATTTGGGAGCCCTGCAGGGATTCAGTGTTAACTGGATCCATAGTCTGAGGGAGACCCAGTACCCCGGACCCCAGAGCTGGGGTTCAGGAGAAATCAGTAAAAGGCTAAGAGGGGATTGATCACTTCCTCAATTAAAACAACCCAGCCAGAACATCATCACCACCCCTGTCCTAGCCCTATCCCTTTGGAGTATATGACCACCAAAAGCTTCAGCACCAGCCCCTGCCGTGGCTGTGCCCCACCTCAGCACGGGTCCCTTTCTCTTCCAGTCCCACCACACCCCCATGGTCATCTTGTCCAGATTGTGTTGAACTGACTAGCTTGAGAGCCCACTCCTCATCTCGTCATTCTCCAGAGACTCCAGTGAATGGGGAGGGCCTCCCCAGAACATGGGAGCAGAGGTCAGTCACAGACAACCCCAGGCTAAAAGTTAAGATTTCTAGGAACTTTGGCCATGTGGGTATAGGTCTTGAGTGAGGGAAATGAAAGCACCATGGGGCTGAGGCTAGGGTTTTGCATAGATCTTTGGGATTTCTCAGTTTGCTCCCTGTAAATCAGGCTGGAAATGCAGGGGAGCCCAGGACTAGCCCTACAAGGCTGGGGAAATGAGGGTGGGGATGGCCCTTGGGCCAGGGGGTACTGAATCCCCAATGAGATAGAGTGAAGGGCAGTCGTCCTTAAAACTAGCCTAGCTCTTCCTAGATTGGTCAGGAAACCTAGGCTATAAAAAAGTCCCCTGTAGGATGTAGGAACCGAGGCAACTTGGGGAGAGGAGGGTGGGGAAAGTCACTGCTGGGAAGTCAGCTCTGGCCTCCCTAGGAGGGCTAATAGGGGGCAAAGAGGATGGGTCCCGTGGCAGGGCGGACAGCTCCCGCTGGGGTTCGAAACAGGGCTGGGCCCAGGATTGGAGCTGGGAAGAGGGTGGTAGCTGTGGTAGGGGCAGGCCGAAGGGCCAGGGGCCCTGGCAGGGCACAGATGGCCGCAGCTGCAGTGGGGATCGGGCTGGGCAGGAAGCGGGCTGCCAGCGTCTTGGTGAGTTGCTTCTGCAAGGCCAGTTTAGACTGCAAAGAAGAGAAAGAAAACTGCACACAGTCTGACCTCAGAAAGTCCCCCTGCTCTAGGCTCCATCCTTGGGCTTTTTGCTGCAGGATAAACATGCCTCTTAGGGTTCCAAACCTAAGTCCTCCCTTCCCGCCCCCAAACATTCATTCCGAAGGGCTTTCTCCACCACCTGTCTTCCTGCCCAGAAGGAAGAGAATCATGATGGCCCAAGGGAGCAGGCTATGCTGGGTGGAGGTAGAGATGGTTTCTAGGAGATGGCACGCCCACCCCTTGCTCTTGCCTCTGAGATTCCTACCCAGGCCCACCTCCCGGAAATTCCTCTGGGCAGATCCCAACATAGCCAAAAACCCAACCCCAGCTCTTTCTCTGCCCAGGCAGCCTCCACAAGGGGGTGGTTTTATTCCTGCCTCAGATCCCTAGCTGGTCCCCGCTCCCCATCCCCCCTCCCCTCTTGACCGAGGTCCCAGCCCTGTTGCCTAGAGACAGATACCTTGAGGATACTCACAGCCAGCGCTGCGTGCTTCTGCAGCTTGCTGTGCTGGCTGGAGGGTTTGGGGGGCTTCCCGGCCAGGCGGTCTTTGTGCCTCCTGCTGCTCAAGTGCTAAGGGACAGACGGACAGACAGACTGGGAACAAGATGAGGGAGCCCAAAGACCCCCAACTACCCCATCCTGGACTAGCTCACCCTTCTCTACCCATAGTACTCACATTAAACTTACACTTACTGGGCATGACCTGGAGTGGCCCTGGGAAGGGGAAGTAAGATTGGCCTTTGCCCTCCAGGAGCCCACTGTCCCACTTGCCTTGCTCTACCCAATTCTCCTCAGGCTACCTCCTTTCTCCTCCCAGCACTGGTCCCACTCCCTCATCCCTGCTCCAACCCTAGTCCCGGCCTCCCTTCTCCCACCTGCTTGAGTTGGGTCTCTGAATTGACCTGGAGCTGACAGACAGCACAGTGGAAAGGGGGGCTGGGCCCTGGCCGGCCCCCCCGGCCCCCGGTCACTCTCTTGGCCTTGTGTCCAGCTCCTCCGCGGGGCACTGGGCGGCCCCGGCCCCTTCGGGGAGCCCCTCGCTGACCTTCTACCATCCACCGGTGCTTGGCTCCTGGTGGAAGGAAAGAAGAGAGCCTGTAAGCACTGAAAAGGGGCTGCAAGGGCCATGGACACTCTTCCTACTAGGTCAGTTTGGTTGTCTCATTAGCTTTGAGGCTGCTCAGCACATATAGCCCCACCAGCCACATGAGATTTCTCTTTCCCATCTCCATTTCAAGGCATCCTCCCCCAAGAAAGGCCTTCTTGCAGTGTAACTGGTCTCCTGTCTCTGGAGTGACCTTTCGGTTCTTGCTTTTTTCCCCAATTCTCCCTCCTCAAGCATTAGTGGGAAGACCTGAAATGCCCGCCCAATAACAACTGAGCATAAGGCCTTGGTTACCAAGCCCTTGAGCAAAGTGCCCACATCTGGTGGGGGCAGCCTCCCCGCCCCTCTTCCTCCCCCGACTCCAGCTGGAGGGGCACACTGACCTGTGTTGTGAGCCTGAAGCTGGGAGGCGGAGTTCACTGTCACCTTACACGTGGGGCAGTAGAGGCGCCCCTTCTCACTCCTGCCTTCCCCACTCACACTGCTTCCCACAGTAGCTGCTGCCGGCTCAGGCCCCGGTGCCTCTGTCCCAGGCTCTGGGGAGCAGGGGGGGCAGGAGGAAGAAGAGGAAGAGGAGGCACCATCCAACAGGTCTGACTGCGCTGGCGCCCTGGGTGTGGAGTCCGGAGTCAGTGGTGGCTGGAGTGGGGGGCCAGGAGGAGGGTCTGCAGGAACTACTGGGGAGATGGAAGGCATTGGATAAGAGGGTGAGGCCTGAGATGATTCTGGAGACCATGATTTTAAGCACTGACATATTAGGGGTGGCATGGCAGAGTAAACAGGTCACTAGTGCAGGGGTTACTGGCACTGAATTTCAGACACCATTCTACCAACCAACTCACTGGGCAGAATTGGGCCTCTTTGGGCCTCAGTTTCCCCATCTGAAACCATAAAGTTGGACAGAGTAATCTCAGAAAGCCCTCACAGCCCTGAATGTCTAGTTATTAGCCGTTAAATGAAGAGGGGGAAAAAGGTACTAGAATGTTCACAGAGCACTATTCATAATAGGATAAACTGGAAACTATTCAAATGTCCATCAACAGGAGAATACGTTTTTAAAGAAAATCATTGTATGGTCACACAATGGAATACTACATGGCAATGGAGGAAAAACTATAGCTACCACCGCAACAACACGGGAGAATCTGTAATGAGTGTTAGGAATGTTTATGAAAGGTGAACAGAACCCAGACACAAAAGCCTACATTCAATACGATTTATCAAAACCAAGTGGAACTGGTCTATGTTGAGAAAAGTCAGAATCACAGGTACCCTGGGGGAGGGGTGTAGGTGGTTGAATAGTGTCACCCCCCAAATTCATGTCCATCTAGAACCTCAGAATGTGACCTTATTTTGGGAAAAGGGTCTTTGCAGATGTAATTCGTTAAGATAAAGTCATACTGGATTAGGGTGGGCCTTAATCCAATGACTGGTGTCCTTAAAAGAAGACCATGTGAAGACACAGACATGGGAAAGCGAGATGTGAAGGTGGAGGCAGACTGCAGCGATGCATCCACAAGCCAAGGAGTGCAAAGAAATTCCGGCAACTACCAGAGCTAGAAGAGGGGCATGAAAAAGATTCTCCCTCTCAGCTCTCATGAAGGAGCCAATCCTGTTGACCCCTGGTTTCAAACTTCTGACCTTCAGAACTGTGAGAAAATAAATTTTGATTGTTTTCAGCCACTCAATTAGTGGTCATTCATTACAGCAGCCCTATGAGACTAATACAACAAGGTAGTGACTGGAAGGGGCCAAAGGAGGGCTTCTGGGTATTTGAGAGATGTTTCTTGGTCCTGAAATATTCAGATGGGAAAACTCATTGAGCTCTCCACTTGTGATGTGTGCCTTTTTCTCTCTGTAGGAATGCTTCAACACAAGCAAAAATAACAAGCAATCTCTCAAACCCTCATCAGGAATCAGGTTTGAAGTGGGGAGCAGGGAGAAGAGTTCAGGACTAACCTTTGCTCTGCAGCTCTTCAGGGGCTCCGCTAGCCACAGTGGGGGTTGGGGACACCAGCGTCCCATCCTGGGTCAGGGTTTGGGGCCTCTGCTTGCTCTTGGCGGCTTCAATAGCCTTGAGTTTTCTGGCATGTTTGTGACCTTTATAATGTGCTTCAGCCTGGTTCTGGGGTGGGGAGGGCATAGGGTCACCATTCATTCTCTGAGTCTACACATCCCATCCACGAGCTGGCATTGGGCAGGGGGCAAGTCAGAGGGAGGCAGGGCTCGGGTCACACAAGGGGTGAATCCTTGTCATTGCCATCATCATTGCAGTATGTGCATGGCCCTGGGGTTCCCAGAACACATTCTCATACATGAGCTCCCAGGCAAGCAGCCTCTGGCTTTAAATTCTGACTCAGCAACTGAGTAGCTGTGCATCTTTGGGCAAGTCACCTCACCTCTCTGAGCCTCAGTTTCCTCATTCATAAACTTTGTGTTAACACTGGCCTCATGGGACTGTGAGAATTAAATGAGAACCTGAATGATCTGTGCCTAGTACATACAGTAGGTGCTCAATGAATGTTGGTTACCAAGTTTATAAATGCTCAAATGGAGAAAACAGAGCAATCATCACTCTTGGGGTATGTGCACCCCAGAACATTCATCCCTCTGTTCATTTTTTCAACAAATAGTTATTGAGCACTGGCTATTTGCCAGGCACTATAAAGGGGCCCAGCATGAGGACAGTCCCTCTCTTGGAGGGAAATCTCTGTCCAGCTCACAACTTGTAGCCTGAAAGCCTGGAGGGAACCCCCATATCTGGCCTGGTAGTATCCTCCCTCCTTCAACCAGGGTTCCCTGCTTGTTGCTTAAAGACAGGACCCTCCCTAGACACTTTCATCAGAACAGATCGGCTGAGAGCATCACCCCAAACCCTAGAGTTGCCTGAGAGAAGGTAAACCTTCCCTGGGAGACCAGAATGAGGCTCCTTCACTATCCAGGGGCAGGCTATGGTAGAAAGTATGCAGACCTTGGGGTCAGCCAGGCCTGGGTTTAGACTTCAGGTTTGCTACTTACCAGCTGTGTAGCCTCAGGCAGGTTACTTAACCTCTCTGAGGCTCAGTTTCCTCATCTGAAAAGTGGGGATGATAACTGCACCTCTATCCACCTCATAGATGTATCATGAGAACTAATTAAGACAATAGGCATGAACAAACATATTCTGTAAACTCTCAGGTGCTTTAAGAACTCAGCTCCAGCACGGCCAGGCGTGGCTCAGTGGTCGAGCATCAACCTATGATCCAGGAGATGGTGGTTTGATTCCCGGTCAGGGCACATGCCTGGGTTTCGGGCTTGATCCCCAGTAGGGGGCGCACAGGAGGCAGCCGATCAATGACGATTCTCTCATCATTGATGTTTCTCTTTCTCTGTCTCTGTCTCTGTCTCTCTCTCTCTCTCCCTTCCTCTCTCTGAAATCAATAAAGATATATTTAAAAAAACACAAAAAAAATCTCAGCTCCAGCCCAGGCCGGGTAGCTCAGTTGGTTACACCAAGGCTGCGGGTTTGATCCCTGATTAGGGCACATGCAAGAATTAACCAATGAACGCATAAATAAGTGAAACAACACACTGTTTTCTCTCTCTAAAATCAATCAATCAATTTTTTTTTAAATATTAAAAAAAAGAAAAAGAAAAAGAACTCAGCTCCAAACCAGGAGCTGATGGGGTGGCCCCTGGGACTCAGAGTGGGGAAGGGCAGTCTTCTCTCTCACAGAAGGATCCAGAACACAGGAGAGAAGCACAGGGCAGGGAAATGGAGTTCCAGGGGGACTAAAGAGGAAAGGGGCAGGGGACTCTGGAGAGAGAAGAGGACGATGGATAAAGGACCAAGAGTGCCTCTTCTGTGACCAGGGATGGAAAATTCAGACCACAGCCCCTTTGCTACCCCTATTCCTCCAGGAGAGACCCCAGAAGTCCAGTCTCCAGCCCTCTCCCTGCCGAGCCCCCTCCCCAGCCTGTTTCCACTACTCCCTCTCACCGCTGAGTTGAACCTCAGGTGACAGATGTTACAGGAAATGAAGAGCTTCTTCTTCAAAGGGGAGGGGACCCCAAAGGTGTGGCTGATGACAGCTTTCTGGACCGGGTCCATCTGTGAAGGGGATGGAAGGGCACAATAACTCTGGGGTCAGCCCAGGAAGGGGGGATGGTACAAAATGCCCCAAACTAAAGACTATCAAGGAGGGCAGTGGCCAACTCCTTGGAAGAACTTTCCCATCCTTGTGATGTTAGACACAGCAAAAGAAACAGCTTCTCCCCTGGCAGACTTTATCTGTCAGCCTGAGCTTCTGCTTGGAGGCAGGGGGATGGCCAAGGTGACCTCCATGATCTTGAGAGATAGAACTATGTCCTGGGATCTCCTTGGCATCTCTTGCTGCCCCTCTGGTCTCTGTTTGTTTTTATTTTATTTTTTCTCATTCATAAGAATCACAACTCTTAGGACAGAGAATTGGGGGGAGGGAAGGCAAGGAAGGGACAGAGTCCCTCGGTTGGAATTTCCACTCCCACAACCCACTCTTGTGCTGGACCTGTGGGCTGGGGAGATCAGGCATATCTTATGAGCTCCACCACTGTCACAGAGCCTGAGAGGGATAGGAAGCCACAGCCTGGGCAAGTAGGGGGCCAGGATAGGTCAGATGACAGCAAGTAGAGGCTAGAGGGTTCCCTTAGTAGAATCATTTCTTTGGAATATTAATTTGTGTATCTTTTCCTATGTCTTATTTTAAATAAAAATTTTCCCCCTCTCAAACCAAGCCTTTATGTTCCCTTTTCTCAGGGGCCTAGATTGTTGGGCCAAAAGCAGAAGCTATCTGGGCTTGCTTGTCCAGAAGAACTTTCTGTTCTCTTCTCTTAGGAAGGCTTGGAGAGAAAAGCAGGAAGAGGTTCTAATTTTCACAGCAACCAGGGCTGGGGAAGCAGGGGACAGGACCTCAGAGAATGGCCTGCAGGTCCCCCAGTGATCAGGACAACAGTAGCTTCACCTGCTCCTGAGGGACCATGTGCTTGAACAGTGAGCATGTCAGCAAGTGACAGCAGAAACCTAAGACCAGAAGACCCTCCCCAAATGTCTCAGGCTCCTGCGGACCTCTGTGCAACCCTGGAGGGCAGGAAGGAAGGGATTCCTCAGGGTAACTGAGGCCAAATTCCCCACCATCTTGTCAGGGTGGGGTGGGGTTCCATGATGATTGCATTTGATTTCTCAAAATTAAAAAGGAGGGCCATTCCTTATAGCTCATGTCGTGAAGTCTACTTCATGCTCACTACACTTGTTCTTCACACACATGCACACATGAAAATACACAGGCTACTATACAGACAGCATATGAGCTTACAGACAGCTACAGGTTACAGAGACATGCAGAATAACACACATACACACACACAAATGGCACACAGTCACAGACAAAGGCACAATCACCCAACCCACACAAAACACACTCAGAGGCCAGACGCACACCAAATACATACATAGTCAACACAAAGATACAAAACACCTCTCACATACCCAGGCATACATATCACGTACCGAGAAACAAAGACTTGTTTACAAACACACACAGGACAACAACACACAAATTCACATCTACAAAGAACACACAAAGACCTATGGAGACATAAACTAAAACAGAAAGGCACACCCAACTGCACACAGCCACCCACAAACCATCCACAGAAGTCCCTACACCAAAACGCAAGTGAAATCTACAGTACAGACCCTACAGTTATCACTGGGGGCGCGGGTAACACCATCCTCCTCCCCGGCCCAGAGAGCTGGGCCCAGGGGTCTCTGTTTTGGGAGCACCTAGTCTCTTGGAGATGTTGGAGGAGAATGAGCTCCCGGTTAGACCCAGCTTCTGAGAACAGGCCCCTCTGAGCCCACCTTCCCTGCCCACCCCAGCTTGGCTGCATGCCCCCACCCACCAGCCCGGCCCGTACCGTGCTGAAGTTGGGGAAGAGACTGAGCGGGGCAGCGCCATTGAAGTGGAAGGCGAGCAAGTGCTTGAAGTCCAGCGGGGGCTGCAGAGGCCTGGTGGGCAGGGGCAGGGAGGCCAGCAGGGGGCTGGGGGCACTGGATGCTGGGCCTGCTGCAGGAGGAAGAAGGGCAGGGTCTGAAATCGGGAGCCACAGGGCAATCCCACCTCCACAGCCAGAAGAGGCTGATGGGCTTCTTGGGTGTGGAGCCAGGGCAGAGCTCCTGCTTCCCTCTTCACAAAGTAGCACAGGCCAAGCCCAGGGCAATTGCAGCCCATTTCTGTGCCTCTCCTCTCCACAACGGGGAAGCCGAAGCAGGGAATCCACAGCATAAGGCTCCCAGCCCAGAAAGATGACCCTCCAGCCCCTACAGAGGCAAAAATGAACCCCCTAAGAGGAGTCAGGCCAAGGGAGGGGACAGAGGCATCAGGGTGGACCCCTGACACACACACACACCACCATGGAGACTGCACATGAACTGGGTTTCCTCTTTATTGCAAGTTAAACCCGAACCCAGGCCTGGGGAAAGATCAGCCCCGTCCCTTCTCACTAACTCCCCCTCTCCAGATCCCCACATCATTCCCAGCAAGGGCTGCCAGAGGGGATGGGAAACCCTTGGAATCTGAAGGGATGTGTCCCCCAGCTCTGGCAAGGCTTCAACTGCTTTCCCCAGGAGGCACAAAGCCTTCCAATGGCATCCCTGGGTCAGGCCTGGAGGTGGGGATAGCACGGTGGTTTTACAGTCTTTGTTCTTAAAGGTCTGAGGCAAGGAACTCAGTGGAACAACCAGATTTCAAGAAAGAAAAAAATTAGAAATAAGTCCAGTTTGTTTGGGACTTTTTGGACTCTGTCACTGCAAAACAAAAAGAAGTCCTTTTAGATTTATGTGTTAACAGTATGAAAAATAGGATAAATTTATTTCACATTTATAGATATGTTATATACATGGTCATATACATAAAAGCCTCAGGCAACCTATTGGTGGGGAGGGGAGGGAGGGCACCAGTACCTCCCTTGAACTGGTTGCTTGTGCACAGAGAGGGTGCTGTGCTGTGGGTTAAAAACAAGGACAGTGATCTGCTCTCCAGTCATATCTGAAGAGAAGAGATGCTGCCAGGAGTGGGGCTGAGAAACAGTCAAGGACCCATTCTTCTTTCTCTTAATCCCTTAATTCTGGAGTCCCAGTCTTCCTCCCTCCAACCAAGAACCCCCACCCTCAACTTTTTTAGGGCCAAAAGTTGGGATGAGTCCAGAGGGAAACGGGTGAGCCACTCCTCACCAAACTCTACAACGGTCAGGAGCAATATTTAGGGTGCCCCAGACCCTAGCATGACTGCCCACTCGCCCAGGCCCCGCCGGACCCAGCCCTCCTCCACAGCGCACAGGGCTGGGTTAGTACTCAGCGGGCCGCAGAGGGAGCAGGGGAAGGTGAATGGAAGGCCACAGTAAGTCAGCTCGGTGCGGCATGGTCAAGTCCGGCTTGGCCCTTAGTGTGCCCACGGCCCCAAGCTGGATGGGTAGAGGGAAGGAGGCCACCCTCACCCTCACGCGAGCTGCGACCCCAGCAACCCCTCCCCCCACCCACTCTCTAAGAACTCCACGGCCAGCGCAAAGTCAAACTCGTGCAGCGGGGGCCCATCCACAGCAATCTTGACCACAGGGTCTCCCCGGCCTTCCCCGGCCCCGCCTTGCCCCCACCACCGCAGCTCCCGGCTGC